TTGTTTGGGTCTAAATTTCTATGCCAACAAGTCAATCACATTTATGGAATATCTAGAATCTTTTAAGCTCTGCTTTTTCAAAAATTCAATTCAAGTTTCTTAATTTGTTTGGAATATCCTCACGTCTATTAGGAAGTTTCTTATATATAAATGAATGTATTGCTGACAGTTGTTGCTGTAAAGGACACGATGTTATACTGCGTATCATACAAAGTTATTTTAAGACTTAGTAAAAGTCATAGCATATGTTTATGTAATATGCCCAAAGAGGTGAAAATCCTGAAATTTCGGCTTCAAATTTCCCACAAAAAAAATTTTCATACGTTTCAAAGAGCTAAAAATTAAGAATTGACAGGGTCGAAGAAAGCTTTCCAAAATTAGAGGTATGAAGTAGGGAAGGGCACTTATCATGGTCAACAGTCGCCAAGTAGTTTTGACAAAAAGGGAAAATGACAGTAAAAATTCAATCTTCAAGGCCCACTTATTTCTTCCTGAAAGGAAACTTGCAAAATCTTCAATGGATAGAAAATCTTCCAAGACAAATACATGAAGACGAAAATTACTGTTAACCGGTCTGTCATAAAGTCCTCGATGCCGTACAGGCAGAGCTGTGAGCGATTTTGGTGTAGAACAGGATCCTGCTCTATATTCAGCTCTATACACCAAAAGCATATTCTCATTTTTGAATTACTCTTGCAGGGGAGGAATTTGCACTGTCACTGTGCTCTTTTTGTCACCAAAATTTGGAGAGACCTCTTAGTCATCATTTTGGGTTAAGGATTTCTCAGGTATGTTACCAGTCCGAACCAAACCCAAAACCTTTATCAAATCTCTCAAAGGAAGACTAGATCTTCAAACTCAAAAAAGAATTTAATTACCAAAATTTCAAACGGGTAGATATTGAATAACAAAATATTAATGTTGTGTCCATTAACTGCGAGAATAGAAAAAACGTGGCGTGTTATTTTAAGTTAATCTTTGATCATATTAATTACGTGTTGCCAAATATAACAACAATACTTGATTTATAACTTTTGCAGTCTGGACGACAGATCCCCCTCACAACGTGGGAGGGTTTTCCGTTCTATTTACAACTGGGTTTAGTTTGCACAAGGTCGAAATTATTGGTAAATTCTCACCATCGATGTGTCCACTCGAAATATTTTGCGATTTGCTCCGGCCAGCTTTAAACCTAATTTAACAGAGCTAATTTTATGTAAAAAAACATGGACAATTGCCATGTTGCCAATTTGAGATTTTCTGTTCAGTTCTGATATGACAGCCTTGTGCTAGACGTAAAAAATATATGCGTCCCCTTTGGACTCAAGAAAAGCTATTTTAGAAAGCTCCTGCGTTTTACGTCACACTTTTAAATGAATAAGTAAATGAATAAGGTACAAAGAGTGATAAAAATTCTGACAGATTAGTGATGCCTTTTGACGTCCGAAGAATATCAGAATCGGGAAGGCACTGAAAAGGGGCCCTCCTGAAGAAAAATTGGCAGGCGACAGTACATGGCGACCTTGTACGAGGTTTGGCAGTGATTTGCTCACCCTGATAGAAACTCGGTTGTGAATGGGTTGTTTGGAGGAAGAATTAATAGAGCTGCTAAACTTCTTCGCAATTAAGGTAACCAGAAACTATTTGATCACTTGGTACAGTGGAGAGAAATCTTAGGCAGAATCAGGGGCAGAAGGAATGGAGGACAGGGGGGCTACAGCCTCCTGAAAAGCATCACATTTGTGGGTAATTTTGCTCTGATAAAAAATTATAGCTTCAAAAATAGGATATTGGAAAATGGGATCTTTAAAAATTACAAACATTTGATTAACCTCCAGATGTGAAAGCCTCATAAATGAAAGCAGAGCTGCTCAGTTTCCAATGCGATCCGATGATTTGATTTCATAAAACAAAACATCATTTCAAGTTTCGAAAATGTTACAAAACAATTCAGACATTTGTCATTTAAACAGTTGCTCCTGGAGCTGGACTTTTATAATCGTTTGTTATTTACAAATGCAAAATAAGAACGTTATTGTAAAACAAATAGACAAAACTAATTACAGTGAAATGCAGTAAAACCCCGCTTATAAGAAACTAACAATACGAGAAACTGCATGTTTTTTCAAAGTTATGTACAAAATATAAGAGCTGTTGAGCCTTGATTTTTTCCAGTTTCTTAAAGTACTCATTTGGAACAAAGATTTGTGAAATAAAATTTTAAAAATGAGATTTCAGCTTAATGAATTGAAAAAATGCTTTGTTAAAACTTATTTCCTTCCGTCATAATGTATAATGCACAAAACTTTTCGAGCTGGTCCTTTTATCATCTTATAGGAAGCTCATTTTTTTAAGAAACTTGTCAGCCTTTTTTCCAAAACGTATTCTTTACATAGAAAACTGTGCAGTCTGATCCGAAAAAAAATACTTTCTTATATGCAGACATTTACTTTAGTTGGCCTTAATGAGCATCTTTGTTTTGTTGCTGAAATTGTTTATTTTACTATTGCATTTCTGTATGTAACAACCACCTACAGTATCGAGTACAGTATGCTGCAAATGGTCCCAACAGCGAGGAAATTTGGAAAACCAGACGTGCAATATAGCACATGAATTACCACACAAATGCCAATCTTGTTGAGCAAACATCCCACAGGTCGGACAAGCCTGAGCAAATCCTAAAATTACATTTCACGACACTATCTTATAAATTACTATATTTGCCATAGAAAACTAGGCTGTATATTGTTTGTTATTGTAACGGTGAGAAATATCAGCTTCGACGTTTCACCGCTGTCACCAACTTGATAAAAAAATTTCAAGAGCTTATAAACCTATAGAAGAATGAAGCGATTATCGTGATCCTTTGCTTGGGAAAATGGCAAGCTTGTCAGGTTATATGTGAAATACGGAAATGCCAGATGCTCTGGTTTCTCGGTAATGAAAAGCCCTTCTGTGGCTAGGGTGCACCAAAATAAAACAGCTGACGCCACTTGTCAATGCTTAACGACGTCAAAGGCAAGAAGGCTTAGATGAAATTAAAAGCAAGTAGCGTGCTCACGTATTCATGATGATGATAAGAAGAGCAACTTCAAACACAACAAAGATCCAATGTTGTGAAAACACTATTCAGGACCTGCGCCATTGATCCTAAACTGGAGGGCCACAAATTTGAAACAGTGGTGGCGCTAGGTTTCCTCCGACAAAGGGGCTAGCACTTCCGACGGAGGGGCTAATTTTTTTAGAGAACGATAGGGCTAGGGGGCGACAAGGAATTGTAAGGGTACTGGAGACCGAAGGCGAGCGTTGCGAGCCGAAAATTCGGGGGTCCGGGGGTACTCCCCCGGGAAAATTTTGGTGGCTACACCCATTAGATTGGCTAAAAATGCTATCAAAATGGTGTAATCGTGTTTTTTACTACGTTTTTTGACATATTACTAAGGGCACGTTTTCCCTTAAAAATAGTAAAAAATAAGAAATTTGGAAACTATTAGTACTCTGGGCTTGAGTCAAGTTTCTTATAAATAAAAAAACGTGTACGTAGAAGCAAAACACTACAAATATGTATGGTTGGGATGGGGTAAAATGGCTTAGCTACTACGTAAATGAGTTTGATTGTTTTTATGGCTGAAGCCCTTTGCTAAGTGTTTTTCCTCGTATTAAAAGGACTTAAATATTAAAACGTATAACATACCACGTTCGATTTGCTCTTCGTCTTGAATTTTCGAAATTTCAACTTCTTGTTCTTCGGGGTCTTCTGTTGTTCTTTCAGTTTCAAAATCATTAACCTTTCGTTTCTTTGGAAAAGTACCGCCTTTTGATTGAAAAAATGTTTTTATTTTTCTCTGCTGCGAGTCCGTTTCAACTATTGCCGTCGTAGGAGCAGTCCTTCCCATTGCAGCCAAATCTTTGTGCTTGGACTTCGTGTGGCGGGCAGCGTAATCATTGTTAAATACGTCATTACATATACTACATCTAACACTGAAACGGGTAACATTTGTTGCCATATCGCTATCGCACAAAAATATTCCGATGTTGTAGGTTGGTTATAGCAAGCAAGATTTGGACGAACTGCACTATCCATAACATAAGATCAAATTTAACAGCATGCGGAAAACACCTGGTACTGAACATCTAAACAACCAATTCAAACTTCTTATAACAGATTATTATTTACCATGAAATTGATGTGTCGATGAGTTGTTTTGGGATGAGCTTCCTGAATTCTGATAACAGTCCTTTTAGAAATTTCTATTTCCGCCAAAACTTAAAAAATTCGCTCCGACAAAAAAAATTCAAGCATAATTTATCTTCCGACGGAGGGGCTAGCCTCCTCCGACGGGGGGGCTGTAGCCCCCCCTGCCCCCCCTCTGGCGCCACCACTG